GTAGGGGTGCTGGGGGTAGGGGTGATGTGGGTAAGAGGGGTAGGGGTGCTGTGGGTAGGGGTGCTGGGGGTAAGGGTTCTGTGGGTAGGGGTGCTGTGGGTAGTGGAGGTGCTGGGGGTAAGGGTTTTGTGGGTAGGGGTGCTGGGGGTAGGTGGGATAGGTTATTAAATCAGTACCCCCCCCCTCCCTTCTTCTAACCTTTGGTGAAGGGGAGGGGGGGGACACTGCCATCCCTGGTGGTCTGGTGGTGGTATGCAGGACAGGATGACAAATCCTGCAGCTCTCCCGTCCTCCCGCGCGATGCTGTGTGGAGCGTTGCCATGGTAACGCGTGGCAACGATCCACACAGCTCGCGGGAGGACAGGAGAGCTGTTTCCTCGATCCTTCCTCCCTGCTTCCGGTCCTGCCGACACGGAAGCAGAGTAGGCGCCTGCCGTTTCGGGCAGGCAGGCGCCTACTCTGCAGTGATGGCAAACCTATGGCCGCGTGCCCACAGAGAGGGCCCGGCGTGCCACCTGTGGCACGCGTGCCATAGGTTCGCCATCACTGGTCTAAGGTGTATATGATCATTGAACATTTACTGAGCACAGGACAGCTCCCTGCATGACATGGCCAAACACTGTATCTATTAGAATGGGTGAATTTAAGTTAACCACACAAGGGATGAATAAAAGTTATCTTTTAACAGAAGCAAGGTGCAATGGAATTACCGGGGACCATACCATCTTCTCTCAGGTTGGTAGTGATAGGAGTAGGGGTTGTAGTCAGGCTGTAGCTAAATCTGCTTTAGATACAGACAGGAGATGATCATGTGTCTTTGTCATGGCTGGCTGCAGGTGATGAGAGCAGCTGAAGTATGGCAGGTTTTCAGTTCGGAGTACACCGAAGACAATGACATTCAATATTATGGTTGGCTGAGAGCAAATGTGTCAGGGACCCTTCTGTGGTGGCCAGGGATGTCCCCCATGGTATTCACCTCTTACATGAGGAAGTAGGTCCTCTCCAGCATCCCTCTTCTTTCTCCAGCGGTTTTCACGCAGGGCAAGGGTGCGTCGACGTCATGACGCTAATGATGTCACATCCCGCCGAAACGTTCGGATTTGAATGTTTTGGGGGCATGGCTACCATCCTAACGAGCCACATTGCCCCGTTGTGGTTCATGTTTGTCCCCTATAGTGCTTTATCTGTATTTTTTATTCTAGCTTTTTACTTCGGCTCTGTTTTTGAATACTCTTCATTCTATACTTCTTTGACCCGGCTTTAGCATTCTCGTTTATCCTGATCTCTGTACTCCTTGACCTGGGCTTGAATTTGACTACTCCTTGTTCTTATATTTTAGCCCGGCCATTCTAAGGTCCAGTATATGTTACCTTTTGTCTACATTCTGCGTGTTGGATCCAATTCTATTACTGACAAGATGTTCTTTTCAGTCCTAGTTGAACTCAGGTGCTGAATGGGAAATAAAGAAAGTGCTATTTATTAAATATCTTTTATCTCTTGTACATATCTAGGATGCAGGCACTGAATTAGTTAAATGTGAGACAGTTTCTCATTTAACCTTCCTCTGGCATCACTATTTCTGACATAATTATTTCTGACATTACTTCCTTGATTGCACTACTTTTGATACCATTTCCTGTGACATTACTACTTCTGACATCCCTACCTCTGACATCAGTACTTCTGACATCACTTCCTCTGATAGCACTACTTCTAAAATCCCTTTCTCTGACATCACTACTTCTGACACCAATTCATTTGACAGCACTACTTTTGACATTACTTCCTCTGACAGCACTACTGACATCACGTCCTGTGACCTCAGTCTGTTATACATTACTAATGCTATTTTAGACATCAGAATTGCACCCATGTTATACATTCCTATTACATACCTTTTTCAAATTTCGATTATATACCAGTAAAGCATTACTATAACACTCCTGTTATTTATATTTAGTTAATATTATTACATAGCTGTAATTTATATTCATTACTAACAACATAATCTACTTGGTTTACATTATTATTCCAATACCAATTTCATTGACTTTGCGAATTGTGAGGAATTTAAAATAAATTCAAAGAAAACTGGAAAAAATACATCGATAAATGTGCCAATTTCCATCCTCCATCCAAATGTCTTGCTTGTTACTCATTTTATGCAGAGCTGACTCACATTCACTGACAGAGAGTCAACAAGAGACGCTCTGATATATATAGTGTGCTGAGATGCATTGTGGGAATAGTATGGGTAAATAATAAAGTTCAATGTTTCTGGACACATAATAAACCATTGAACTGAGGGTTGATATCATGGAGGACATTATTTTCCTATAATAAATGCTTGGCATGTAAATATTGCTCTGTATGTTTGGGTTAAGGGAGTTACTAATGGCAGTTACAGTGCCAGGCAGCTGCCATCATTTAAATAGTGATAGATACTGCTATTTGTTTGAATGAAGGGGTAGACTGTCACTACGTATGAATGAAAGGATGTATGTGTAGAACGTTACTGTGTGTGCATGAAAATGTGTATGTATAGAATGTCACTAGGTATGAATGAAGGGGTGTATGTGTAGACTGTCACTACGTATGATTGAAGGGGTGTATGTGTAGAATGTTACTGTGTGTGCATGAAAATGTGTATGTTTAGAATGTCACTAGGTATGAATGAAGGGGTGTATGTGTAGACTGTCACTACGTATGAATGAAGTGGTGTATGTGTAGAATGTTACTGTGTGTGCATGAAAATGTGTATGTTTAGAATGTCACTATGTATGAATGAAGGGGTGTATGTGTAGACTGTCACTACGTATGAATGAAGGGGTGTATGTGTAGAATGTCACTATGTATGAATGAAGGGGTGTATGTGTAGAATGTCACTATGTATGAATGAAGGGGTGTATGTGTAGAATGTTACTGTGTGCGCATGAAAATGTGTATGTTTAGAATGTCACTAGGTATGAATGAAGGGGTGTATGTGTAGAATGTCACTATGTATGAATGAAGGGGTGTATGTGTAGAATGTCACTATGTATGAATGAAGGGGTGTATGTGTAGAATGTTAGTATGTATGAATGAAGGGGTGTATGTGTAGACTGTCACTACATATGAATGAAGGGGTGGATGTGTAGAATGTCACTGTGTGTGAATGAAAATGTGTATGTTTAGAATGTCACTATGTATGAATGAAGGGGTGTATGTGTAGACTGTCACTACGTATGAATGAAGGGGTGTATGTGTAGAATGTCACTTTGTTTGCATGGAGGGGTGGATGTGTAGAATGTCACTGTGTGTGAATGAAGAGGTGTTTGCATAGAATGTCACTGTGTGTGAATAAAGGAATGTATGTTTAGTCATTGAGTGTGAATCATGTCTTTGTAATGTTTGGGGTGGGGGCACATGTAAATGCAGGGAGAGGTTGGGTCATACATTTATGTGGAGGTGGGCAAACAGTAGATCCCCAAATGTTGTACAACTGTAGCTTCCATTATGCTTTTAATAGGCTGGAAAACTAATATGGCAGCTGAAGTTCTACAGCATCTGGGGATCTTTACTTTGCTCAGTTTTCTATTAAGATATAGCCTTACATGCGAGTCGCAGTAGCAACACAATACAGATGATTGATTTTAGCCAGGCAGCTGTATTTTCAAGGTGGACATTATTACCACATTCAGTTATTATAATGTTTCATTCAACTGTTATCTTAGGAATGTTTAAAAATATATATATGCTTTATTACAAATACATGAATATCTGATAATCTTTCTTTACATGGCTTTTCACTGCCAGCTTTGAAATCAAAATCTTTAGTTTTGCTAAAAAAAAACAACAAAGTTTTGCAGCTTTTTGCGGTGTCACTCCACCCGTTAGACACATCCATTCTTTTAACAAACTCTTATTAGACATACTCTGAGTATGTACAAGCCAATAGGAGACCAGTATACGTATAAACTGGGCTGATGACATGTCCCCATCCCACAACCAATCACGTCCCCTGTTCTCCTAAGCATGGTTTGAAAACTATACAGATAAGAAAGAGCAAGGATTGGCCAGAGGAAGGAGGCAAGTAAGCAACTCAGCTCACACTGATCTTTCATTAGTTGGGCTACACTACAAACCATCTAATCAGGAAGATGTTTTGTAAAAAGGGGACGCATGGTTAAAAATTTGGAGTTATGTTGCAGAAAGCAATAACACTTTCTGTATTTCAGCAAAATTAAATGGATTTGAACAAGAAAAATGCATAGTATGTATAGGAGGACAAAACTTCACTAATGGTGTTTTGGCGCCAGATTGTTCCTTTAAAGCAAAACTATAGCGTTAGGAATACAAACATGTATTCCCAAAGCTATGGGTTTAACCAATATATTTTAGTGCTGTGTGAGGGTTCAAAGGGGGGATTTTACTCAGATTTACGTTCTCGCCTGCTGATACTTCATTGAGATGAAATGGCCTGGGAGCCTATAGAATATCATTAAGCATTTCTAGCACAGGCAAATGCAGAACATTGCATCAGACGGAGAACACAAAAAAAATCAACTTAAATTTTAAATAATAATTTAAAAAAGAGGTTCAAAAAAAAGAGAAAAAGAGGAGAATTTGACCCCGAATTAGGGTGTTCATAAGCATATCTGTCACTCCCCATGATTGCAAGACAAGGGAAACTGCATAAAATGTAATTAATATGCAAAATATAAGCAATCAAAATAAAATGTTATATTATGTAAATTTACACAACTTTCTTTTTGAAGCATTATTGAATACACTGAGTTGCTGAATGAGCACACTCTGCACCCCGTGAGCAAAGGATGCCCTAATACTCCTTAAAAACTCTCATCCACAGAATGTATTGAATAGGAACTATTGCATCTGGTTAGATCACAATTCATGGGTTTCTCAGTGTATACACTTTATGCTCCCAGTCTACTTGTTGTCTGACTTTATATCTTGCTATTGATATTTTTTACTTGGTGTGTAATAAGTTAAAGTGAGATAACATTGTATCTATCACAGAATAGGAAAGGGAGAGTTGTTTGAGCCATAGGACATGATGTTGACCAGATTATCTAAATCTATAGCAAGGCAGTTTAATTGAGTTATTTATACTGGTAGCAGCCCTGTTATTAAATTAGTCTGCATGTAAGATATTATTGTGTTTTAATGATGCACAGTTTTCTCATTTCTTTGTAGCACACTATAGGTTCAGTAACATGGTGTTTGATAAACAGTTTCTTAATATGATTACACTTTCTGCACAATTTAAAGATGATACCGCACTTAAACATCTTTAAACTACCATGATGATATACCAACCTCTTCCTGCAGTACATAAACTCCCTTCTGTTATTGGAAAGAGGGACTCTGTGAGTGCACAGCGCCACCTTCTGGTGGTAGTTATATGCACTACTGATACATCTTTAAAGGAACACTATAATCACCGGAAGAACTACAGCTTAATGTAGTTGTTCTGGTGAGTATAATCATTCCCTGTAGGCATTTTTATGTAAATACTGTGTGTATATTGCCCCCTAGGGATACCTCCACTGGCCACTACTCAGAGGTGCTTCCTGGGACAGTGCAGCACAGTGTGCAGCACTGCCGTTCAGATTCTTCAAGGTCTTTATGGAGACGCTGAATTTGGCCAAGCTGGCATTTGGCTCCTCCCCCATCCTTGCCGATTTTAGCCAATCCAATGCTTTACCTATGGAAATGACAGAGCTGCGTGGTGCTGGAAATAAGGTAAGTTTTAACCCCTTCTAAGGGAGTCAATGGGGTGGGGGGGAGCAAGCCACCTAAATGGTAGTTTTAACACTTTAGGGTCAGGAATACATATTTCAGTTCCTGACCATATAGTGTTCCTTTAAGATAAATCAACGTTC